AGGCATGGTCTTACAACCTACCTTTATTTCTTTATATCCTTATAATTTGTTCCAAGAACAATTTGGGGGGTGAAAGGTATTATTTCTTCTGCAATACCAAACAAAAGCAAATTACATAAAATAACAGATAAAAGGACCAAGTTACCAGATTCTATTATGAAATGCAATCATAAAGTGGTACCTTGGGATAGACCTTAAACAATTGAATAGAATATTGCATCTTCTCTTTAAGTTTATATGCAAATCATCTAAAATAGATCTGGACTTCGTCCAAAAGGACACCTGAGAAAAAAATTATACCAGGTCTCCCACTATGCAATTTTAATATTTACAAAATCATGCCGTGTCCTAAAGAGTTCTCAAATGTTGATTAAATAACTTGATAATGTGGCAAACTCCAGCTAATAGTTATTACTAACCTACAAAAATCATCATAGTGGCTAACCTTTACTTAGCACTTAGAAAGGGCTAGGTTCTAAATAAAAAAATTATTTAAAAAAAAAAAAAAAAAGAAAGGGCTAGGTTCTATTGATTACTGTTTTATTACTATTATATTCATAACAAAGAGAACTGGGGTTTAGCTAGCTTATGCAATTTGCCCAAAGCTAAATATAGCTACTAAGTGAGAAAATCAGGATTAGAAGTTATTTAGAACTTAAAAAAGCAAACAAACACACATTATCAACTTTAAATCTAGCACTAAAAGTAAACATCATTTATAGACAAAAACCTATATTTAAAAATACATATAAGAAGCATTCTTCCCATTTGCTAAATCTGGTATTGCTGAGTAATTTTTAAATTGTTCAAAATCTGGACTTTGTTCATCATATAATCATTCTAAAATACTATTTCCTACAACTATTTTTTGAGGGTAAGACTGTATCAATAACACCTCTCTATCCCTGGCATATGATAAAGACATAAATGTTATCAAATGATTCACAGCAGTATTTTAGTAGAATACTCATGACTTTAAAATGAAAACCATGAGCTTTTCCTATTATTTTTAGTTTTCTATATAATACATGAGTTTTTCTGGTTAGCTTTAGATCAGATATGAGTATAAGAAAAAAAATAGACCCAATTTTTCCTTATCTAAGTACAAGTCATATCATCCTACAAAGGAGGAAAAAAAGCTAGTTTTGTTTCTGGATCTTTAAAACAGATGTTGAGAAAGTCACTGAAGAATGCTAATAATGAACAGAATTCAGAATCCTTCAGGTTTCAGCTTAAGTACCATTTTATGTGAGCAGCTTGTCCTAACTATCTCCTCTGTGCTCAAATAAACTGGAAGACAATTCTACTATCAGGATAAGCCTTTTGAGTTATTTTTCTCCCTAAAGTAAACAAAACAAAAATTACATCATCTAGTTGAACTCTTGGTCAGTCAAAAGAGCCTTAAATTTGTTCAAAATATACTTTTTATTAGAAAACTAGCCTTTTGAACCTAAATGTCTTTTGTTCAGACTTGGTAACTAGAATAGAATCGAATCTCTAGTCTGACCAATTTAGAATTACAATCTTGGGAACTTAGAGTTTAAACAAGAACACTAAAGTCAATCCAAGAAATGTATTAGATACTCTGAGATGTCAGAAGAAAGAGTGGCAGCATCTGTCTAAGGGAACCTGTCAAGTCAGCTCAGAGGCTGAAGGAAGTGCTTGCCTACTTCTGGGCTCAAAGCTCAGTCTTCTAGCTCTTCACATTTTCTCCCTTGGGGATTTAAGTCAAACTCCTCACTTCAAAATCACCTCTAAACAGACTGATGACTTCAAAATTGCTTACCATAGCCTTTCCGTCTGACTAGAACTCCTGTAGCATGTTCCTATTTGCCCGCGGGGCATTTCCACTGCATGCCTGTCTTGCTATCATTTCCAGTTCATCCTACCTGAGGTGAATTTAACGCTCCCTGTTTCTATTGGTGGCACTTTTATCCTCCAAAGCTCAAAAATTGCAAAAGTTCACCAAATTTAATTGGGTTCTTCTTCACAGTATCTTTTCTATGAACCCCTTCCTGTACCTTGCATCTACTCCTAGTAATGCCCTGGACTGATGGGCAGAGGCAGAGTTACCCTCTTTGTAGAGCCTGTTCCCAGGACTCGAGTGGACCAATATTCCTCAAGCACAGCTTTCACCACATTCCTTCTCTGCTCAAAAGATGGAAATGAGCAAAGGGTGGGGGGGGGGGGAAGAGAGACAGACACACGCACAAACCAAGAAACGGACTCTTAACTCTAGAGAACATGACGGTTACCAGAGGGGAGGGTGGGGGATGGGTGAAATCGGTGTTAGGAATCAAGAAGTGCACTTGTGATGAGCACTGGGTGATGTATGGAAGTGTTCAATCACTATACTGTACAACTGAAATTAATATTACACTGTATGTTAACTCACTGGAATTTAAATAAAAACTTAAAAAAAAAAAGATGGATTCTGTAGAGGCTTGAGCGATGGAAACTTGACCCAGGCAAAAGGGCCCACAGCGACCCCCCTGGCTGAATACAGACAGGCCCATCAGGCGACCCACCTCAAAATATCCATAAGCCTTAACTGAGCAATGGGTTACTTTCCACCAGGTACGATTACCAAAAAGGGGAGACATTCTCTATGTCGTCAGATCTAACCTTCCGCCTTTAAAAACAGCCTCCACCCGCTGCCCTGTGGCAGACAGTCTCCTCTGCTGTTCTGCCCGCGGCTCCCTTGTGGTGTGTTCAATAAGCTGCTATCGCCTTTGTTCTGCCTCAGGCGAATTCTTTCACCGCCCCCACACCATGCGCGCTTCCAAATGATCATCGCCCCACATTTGGGGGTCCCTGTCCAATCGGAGAGACACTGCAGATTCTCTACCCCTGAAGGAAAATATCTCTGATGGTTAATTTTAAGTGTCAGCTTCATGAGGGATGCCCAGACGCCGGTTAAACATTACTTCCGGGTGTGTCTGTGAAAGTGTTTCTGGGAGAAATTAGCCTTCAAGTTGAACTGAGTAAAGCAGACGGTCCTCCCCAGTGTGGGTGGGTATCATCCAATCCCTTGAGAAGAAAAAGGCAGAGTAAAGTTGAATTTACTCTCTGCCTTCCTGAGGCTTTAGCTGGGACACTGATCTCCTGACCTCAGCATCTCTGGTTCTCAGGCCTTCAGACTTGGACAAGAATCTACACCATCAGCTCTGTGGCTCTCGGGCCCTCAAACCACACTGCTGGCCTTCCCAAGACTCCAGCTTGTGGGTACTGGGGCTTCATAGCTTCCTTTATCACATGAGCCAATTCCTGATAATAAATCTCATTCCTATTGGTTCTATTTTTCTGGACAACCCTGATTAATACACCATTCAAGGAGTAGCCTGGTGTTGGAAGTTCCTCCACAGAAGGCCTCAAACTCCCTCTCTTTTCATTTCTCATTACTGCTCCTAGAGCTGGTTTCCCCCTCAGGCCAAGTCAATATACTCAGTATCCCCAGAACACTCCACAAGCCTTCCTAACCTCAATATGGGGGGGGGGGAGGTGACATCATAAACTTGTTTGTAAAGCAGTTAACATATCAGATTCAGAATTTCACACATCTGTTCTAATGATGACTTTTTAAAAAATAGATACATTTCTCATGAAAGGGAACACCGGACAATATTCCAAACTTTGTAATTCATTTTCATAAAAGTATGAAAAGTGAAAACTTCATTTTCATAAAGACACGGGAAGTGTTTGCGGTACAATATTAGGCTAAACAATTAGAATAAAAATATATGGAGTACAATCTTTACTTTGTAAAACATACACACAATGCACACAGGACTTAAAGGAAGATACAGCAGTGTTATAATTAGTTGTCTCTGGATACTAGGATCACATGTATAATTTGTAAATGTAGATTTACAATATACAGCACAGTTCCAAACTCACCTTTACAGACTATTCTTAGCTACACAGTCTTTCTGTTTAATAAATACTGAAGATACAGGTCTCCGTGACAGCAAATATGCTTCGGAAAAGACCTCATATTATGAATGCTTTCTGTTGCTGCAAAGGGGAGAGTTTTATAAGCCTCTAGTTTTGTGTACAAAAAAAGAACATTCTTTCCCATTTTTCAGTATCCCTTTCCTCCATTGGTAGCTCTTATCTTTTTCTTCATATCCCATCTTGTTTTTCATATCCATTCATATTTTTCATATCCCATCCTCTTCTTAATCCCAAATTATAACATCCAGGATTAAAAACTATCTGCTAGCTTTCCTTCTTACGAAGTTTAATTCTTTCCATTCCACTTACACATAAGTTATAGAAGCTTTTGCTTTATCAACTCCTGGACTGACAACGGCTTATATAGATCTTTCTTGACGTATGAAAGGGTTAAATCCCAATAATCTTCTTGCAGGTTGAAAATATTGTAGGTGGAAATGCATGTAATACACCTAACCTACGGAACATCATAGCTTAGCCTACCCTACCTTAAACGTGCTCAGAATGCTTACATAAGCCTACACTTGGGTAAAATCATCTAACACAAAACCTATTTTTATAATAAAGTGTTGAAAATCTCATGTAAGTTACTGACTACTGTACTGAAAGTGAAAAAAACAGATTGGTTCTATGGGTACAAAATGATTCATTGTTTACCCTCGTGATCACCGGGCTGACTCAGAATGAGGCTCCCTGCTGCTGCCCAGCATCATGAGAATATCTTACCATACGCTAGCCCAGGAAAAGGTCAAAATTCAAATTCTGAAGTAAGGTTTCCACTGAATGATTACTGCCTTTGAAACACTGTAAAGTCAAAGAATCCTAAATCAGACCAGCGTAAATCAGGACCATCTATACATTTTGGTTCTGGTAGGACACCTGAATTAAATTCACTACAGGTCCTTAATAAATATTAGTTGAAAACATCACCACCACCACCATCACCAAAAAGGGTCCTGATCACATCTAAGGGGGAAGAAAGTAACATTCTGCATGTTTCTAAATGACACATGTATATTCCCTAGCCCAGCTCCTGTTACACTTACCTACTGTAAACTTTAGTTACTAAATTGTTGATCTGTTTGTCAATTTTGTATTTGCGGTAATCTTCCAAACCATCTTTTATTGCAATAATTGTCAGGACCACCACGAGAGGTAGCATTGTAATTTCCTTTTGGAAGGCTTCTACCAAAGGCACCCAGTTCAAGACAGCTAGAAACAGGAAATATAAATTGGCAGCCCTGCAATCCAAACACACACAAGGAAGGGTTAACAAATCACATAAAAGCCTAAAGCAAAAGGAACAAAAATATCTCGGGGCATTTTCCTACATTTCCCTTAGTTGATTTTCAATGCGACAGAATAGTGAACTAGCCAAACCTGACATATCTGAACCACCTGTCACTCCTGCAGATATCCAGCTCATGGTTTTACTGTAATAAATGAGGTATTCTTTATTAAATATATGGTATGACAGTCTTGAGTTGTGAAAACGTAAGAAACATCACAGAAAACACTATTTTCTTTTTAAAAGCTCAAAAGAGGGGCGCCTGGGTGGCTCAGTCATTAAGCATTTGCCTTCAGCTCAGGTCATAATCCCAGAGTACTGGGATCGAGCCCCGCATTGGGGTCCCTGCTCCGCGGGAAGCCTGCTTCTCCCTCTCCCACTCCCCCTGCTTGTGTTCCCTCTCTCACTGTGTCTCTCTCTGTCAAATAAATAAATTACAAAAAAATCTTTAATAAATAAACACAGCTCAAAAAATTTAGAGGAAATTCAGTGTTAACACATTGTAGAAATAAATTTTTCAAAACCCCAACTTTCTAGCCTTCAGAAGTTAATTTGCATGTCCAAACATTAGATTCAAACAAGGCTCAAGATAAATAGAGACGCCTGGGAGGTTTTTTTCCCCTTGAAACCAACCCTTCTATTTCAGCTTTTATGAGATTCATTTCTTCAGGAACTTCCTCCACTCCTTTATTTTATATATTCAAATACTCCTCCACTGGCCCCTAAGGTAAATTCAAGTAGCCCATTTCCTTAAAAGAAATAGAATCTCAATCCTGCATAGCCCCTCAAGTTTTTATCACATATTTTCCTCATTAACCATTAAACTTCTCAAAATTAATTTACCCCCATTTCTCCTTCCTCATCTCCAACTCCTTGTATTCTGAAAATTCTTTCTTAACCTTTTTTGCTACTTTTTCTTTTCTTTTTTAAAGATTTTATTTATTTATTTGACAGAGAGAGACTGCGAGAGAGGGAACACAAGCAGGGGGAGTGAGAGAGGGAGAAGCAGGCTTCCCGCGGAGCAGGGAGCCCGACGTGGGGCTCGATCCAGGACCCCGGGACCATGACCCGAGCTGAAGGCAGACACTTAAAGACTGAGCCACCCAGGCGCCCCTTTTGCTACTTTTTTGGCCTCAATTATTTCCATGTGGACTGTATCCAAACCAACGGCACTGACCCTGAACTCTGTTCAAGTTTCAGATTCTAATTCATAAAAGACAGAATCACCCATAGCATGTAAAGCCATTAATTCAGCAAATTCACATCTATATTTTAAACGTACCCATCATTCAATAAGTGTATATGGAACCTACATACAGTGAATAATGAGAATGACTATATGCAGAATGAATAATGAATGTTGAGAATCTGTATATTCACATTCGCATCTCAAACTCAACATTTATAAAAACCAAATCATCTAGCCAAGTTTCTTTTTATTCCTGTCTTTACTTTTTCTGCTAATCCTCCTGGTCATTCTCAGCTCAATATGTTCATACCATCTTTTTACTTAATTCCCTGCATCTAATCCATAATATCTGTAATAATCCTTCTTTTCGTTCCCACATTTTTCTACGCTCAGGTCTTACCACTCGCCAGGGTATATATAGCATCTCCCTAAATGTTCTCTCTGCCTTTGCTTTGTTTCTAATAGTGCCAGGCAGAGGGCTCTACTTTCCAGACCTCAAGCAATGTATGCTACTGCCTTTCTGCTTTTACTTATCATACTCCTTCCCCCATCTGAAAGGTGCTTTGCCGACACCTCTGCCTTGAAAATCTCACCCGCTCTCCATAATTAAGTTCAAATGCCCTTTCCTCTTCTCTTGCTCCATCATTTCTCTTCTGAGGCTTCTATCCTACTTGTTAGCACTTTATAACACTCATCACATCCGCTGTGTCTTTTCATTGTATACGCATCTTGTTTCCCTTGCTAAAAGCAAACTCCATTAGGAAACGAGCACCATTTAGATATGTATTTCCTTCAATGCCTAAACTCATAGGAGAGCTTCAATAAATACATATTAAACTGAACTACATGTTTGCTTCACCTAGTGAAAAGCTCTATTTCCCCATATCATCAAGTAAGAAAAAGCTCAAATTAAAACGCAGCATGGTCTAATAGAAAGAACATGGAAGCAAGAGTGAAAAGACTCAAGGCTATAGGGTCAGCTCCTAATCACTGGCACGACATTGGGTAAACCAGTGTAACAAACTTCGTTTCCTAATCTATAATATGAAAATAACAATATCTTCTCTAGTCAAGAGAAAGCATTTACCACTTATAAAGTGCTATGTGAACATAAGGGCTCATCATTTCACAACAAACTCTACTAGAATCGTCAAAGTAAATGTCCCAAGTCTTAGCTTAGGTAACATATAATGTTATAGAAATGAAAGATCTTATGTTAACTAGAATAACAAAGAACATGCTAAGACTTTTACCTGTGAAATTGTTCAAATAAATTTCTTGGCACAAAATTTAGAAGTGTGTACTTTGTTGTCCGTATTCGGTTATTCACGTAGGTGCCAGAGTACTTTTCATACTCATCCTTGAAGGGCCACAGGTGGGGAACAACAACCCGGTGCTTTCCTGCCAGTTTGGGAGTCCGAGAGGACCTGCCCCCGCAGACAAGCAGAGAGGAATAGCTGTATGGCCTCTCATCCTCGCCCCTGTTTCTACCGCCCATCAGCCATTGCCAGCGATACCTGGCCCATTGTAGACACTCAGTCATGTCCAAAATGCGGTGAGATCCAGGATATGCAGGTGACCTGGCAAAACAAACAAAAACCCACTAAAACACTCCTCATAAGCTTCTGGAAAGTCTTAAAGGATAGTAAGGGTAGTAAAATTAAAATTTTTTCCCACAGCAAATAAATATATGACCCAATGGTTCAATGGGTATAAAGTAAAACTACTCTTTGGAACTAGTAAATGGAAGAAAGTAAAACTAGTCTTTGGAACTCCATTTTAGCCAAATTTTTTATTAAATAAAGCATATACCTTCTGCCTCAAGAGCCAACCATGTGACCATTTAAGCAACAGGAGACAGCACCTAAAGGCCACCCCATAACCTGAAGCAAATAATCTGGGTTTAATGTGCACAAGTCTCTTAATTTATCTGATAATTAGTTTTCTCATCTTTGAAATGGGAGTGCCACACATGTGAGGCAATTTATGTAAGGATTTAATGAGTAACATGTAAATTATCCAGCATAAAGCCTGATGCAGAATAAGCAGTCAATAAAATCCATTCTGTGAAGATTACAAAAATGACCACAAATTCTTTCCATCCCTGTATGTACAACCCTTCACCCGTCAAGTGATGGAACCCAATGAACCTGGGCTTGGCCATGTGCTTTTCTTTGGGTAATGAAACACCAGTAAACATGATGCAAGCAGAGAGTTGCAAGCAAGAAAAGTGCTTGCCCATGGAACTCCCTCTCTCTCCCTCCCTCTTAAAACTCTGTGGCCACTACCAGGGGTCTGAGTACAGGCCAGTGTACTAGATGATGAGTCCCCATGACCCACTTACCACCATTGCTCCTGTCAAAATATGGGTAAGGCCAATGACTACCAGCGGACCATTAACCCAATGTGTGCCTGGGCAGTGACCCAATCTAGAACAGAGATGAGTTGTCCCAACTGAGCTTAATCCAAATTGCCAACCCGCCAAATTGTGAGTCAATAAAAATGACATCACCAAGTTCTGGGATGGTTATAAAACAAAATCTAACTCTTATATGGTCTCTCCTTTATTTTTCTTATTTCCAAGAAATTCGGCCCTGCCTAGAATGTGAGCTCATGAATTTAAAAGAAAACAAAAGCTAAAAGCATATTCCAAGCATTTTGCAAAGCAGTTTACATGCATTATCTTATTTAATATTTACATCAATTTTATGATACAGGTATTTTTTCTATTTTACAAAAGAGGAAACAGGCTTAGAGAATAAAGTAACTTGCTAAAACTTATATGGTTAGTAAGGAGGTAAAGCTGATTCAGACTAACTCGTTCTAACAACAATTTCTGCTTTAACTGTTAATGCACTTCACTGATCTTTGTAATCCAGAGTAGCTGGTGCTTAGTAGATGTTCAATAAAAGTCCAAGCTTGGTAACAAGCATGTCACCAAGTGTGTAGAGGACAAGGTCTGGAAGCCTTGGTTTCTATCCTTGCTTTATCAGTGCCACTGCATTTATTTATCCACTTCTATTGGAATTCACCTCTGGAGATTCTTATTTAGTAAATCAGTGAGTATGTCCTGATAATCTGAACTGTTAACAAAACTCCCCAGACTTCATCTGGAGAAAAATGAGGTTATGTGCTAGAACCTAGAGGAGGCTAGGAATACTGAGATGATCCAAGACCTAGATCCCCTTTCTCCAAGCACTCAGGGTCTAGGTGGGGTGACAGCCATGTAAATACATAAATGCAATCCCAGGGATAAAGTGTTGTTTGAGGGGACATCTGGGTGGCTCAGTCAGTTAAGCGTCTGCCTTTGGCTCAGGTCATGATCCCAGGGTCCTGGGATGGAGTCCCGCATTGGGCTCCTTGCTCCGCAGGGGGCTTGCTTCTCCCTCTGTCTGCAGCTCCCCCTGCTTGTGCTCTCTTTCTCTGACAAATAAATAAAATCTTTAAAAAACAAAAAACACTGTTTGAGACACTGACGTAGTTTGGGCAAATTATTTAAGCTGGCTTCCTTCCTAAACTTCATTCAAAGTTTACAACATGTCTACTGATTATTTTCTCTAAAATGTTATATTAATCAGAAATTAATCGTTTTCCCCTAAGAACATTAAAATTGTATCCAGCTTTCATGGGTCTGAAATCATAGATCATTACCTACCTGAAGATCTGGTCCAATTACATTCTAGTAATTCTAGTGAGTCAATATTTTTAATAATCCATTCTTGCTAGCACACTTATTTACTATACATTGGTCCTTAAGCAATCCAACTGATTACAGTTACGCAGCATCACTTTATCACTGTATTTTAGAAAATAAGTTGAATTACAAGTAATAATCTACAAATCCATCATATCTTTAAAAAGTATATGATCTAAAGCAAAATAATAAAAACAAGTAAGAGCAGAAAGTCCTTTTAATGGGAAGAATACAACAGCCTCCAAGTATGTGTATCTGTGCCTGGATATTGAACCCACAACATATAACCTCTATTACCATTGAGAGAAAATATTCATAAAGTCAGTCTTATCAGTCTTTTTTAAAGATTTTATTTATTCATTTGGCAGAGAGAGAGAGAGAGAGCATGAGCGGTAGGCAGAGGCAGAGGGAGAGGGAGAAGCAGACTCCCCACTGAGCAAGGAGCCCACCATGGGGCTCGATGCCAGGAGATCATGATCTGAACCAAAGGCAGATGCTTAACCATCTGAGCCACCCAGGTGACCCAGTCTTATCAGTTTTACACTAATAATGGAAATGAGAAAAAAAAACAAACTTCTATCCTTATCAGGTCTCTGTCCTTTGGAGTTTGCACTCTAAAATATGTGTTCATAAAGGGCTAAATCAGTAAACACTGGCCAAAATAATTCTATCTTTTCAACATAATTTTTTAAAAGCCCACATATGAAAATGAAAAGTCTAGTTTTCACTTCAGTGTATAAAAATAGCTTCTTAACCTATAACTAGAAATGACAGTTTGAGTTATTAAAGTAGTTCATAACGTATCCAGAAATCTCCCCCAGAATAAGGATGTAAGAAAGTGCTTTATAACTGAATCAGTAGATAATGTAAAAATACTGAACATAAGAACTAAGTGCTTTTCATGCATTTCACCCCATGCACATCAGGGGACTTATGACAAACCTCATGTTCTTCAGAGGATTGAAATTTTATAGTATTTCTAGAAACTTTAAGTTTTCATTTGTAATTAAATTCTTAGTAAAACATAGGAGTGTGTATCCCTCTGGTGTCCACAATCTCAACAATAATATAGATTCTACTTAAATTTTTAAATTTCAAAGTATAATTTCTTGAGAATGCAAACAGAAATAATTAAACAAATACGACACGTGGGAGGCATTAACTTTTGGTAATTTATGGTGTATCTAACAAATAACCCTACCCTAGTGGTGGTTCACAAAAACAGCTTTTCATTCCAAGGGTCTATTCCAGAACCTTCTCTCTCCCCACTCACTCAGTTCCAAAGAGCCAAATCTATGACTGGAGAACATTTCATTTGCCAAAGTATCCCCACATCCACCATCCTCTGTGCCTCTTCAATGTCCTGAAACTTCTGTTAGGTGCTCTGTTTACTCACATATTGTCTTCCCTCCTCCCCCGCTTTCTTATTCCCAAGGAATTTTAGCGAGGATAGAATTGGGGCTGGCTTAATGCCCTCTTCAGCTGACTCTCTATCCTTCCTTCCAAGGCCAGGCAGCTCATGATCTTCCAATGCCTTTCCCTCAGCACTGCCATTCTCTCCTGAAAAGTGATTACTGGACCAAAGGACTGATCTACACAAGACAGAGACGTTGTTAGCATTTTCACAGGATTGAAGAAAAAAGACCAAATGTGGAGGTAATTGGCAAAAATCCTTTCAAATTTCCAGGTTAGAATTTAAACCATTTTATACTGAGCAGGAATGACCAAGGATCTCCTTAGTCGTTCTAGTTCAAGCATTTTCAAAATGTGTCTGAATGCACTGAATTGGTTTCAAGGTCTACTAATATGTTGCTATACACACTTTGGAAAGACACTGCGTGTGGTTGCACATGCGTTGAAAGCCTACAAGGAAATGAACAGATCCACTTTTAGCTCCTGTTCTGGTTGAAAGGCCGGGGAAAACAGCAGCTGGACTAGAATGTTCAGGGCGGGCAACACTTTTCCCACCAGGAGCAAGGAGCCTTTTAATCTTTCTCCATCTACTCCCAGCAAAGCTAAAAATGTATTAATATGGAGAGAAGGCTCTGGTATTAATAATGCTCACATAAACAGCAAAATTTAAGATATGAAAGGAAAGCAGATCAGAGTCATACCTCATTAAGAATCAGCATGAAGCATATTTTAAAGCTCAGATTTTAGAGAGTATTTAACCTAGAGGTCACAAGCCAGTGGCCCTCAAGCAAAATTCTACTCGATGTATCTTGTATCATGATGTTGGCAAACACATTGTAGTAATTTTTCTTTGAATATAGGACTGATATTTTAAAAGAGATAAACTCACAGAAAATTTTGATATTCAGTTTCTCTTAAAAAGAAAAAAAACAAAACCACCACAGAATATTGGGCATTTTCACATGGTAACAAATGTGAGAAGCCTTTTTACTATAGCCCCTGACCTAACCCTTCATTTTCCAGTTCACCTATTTTAACTGAGTAAATGAGCACTCTGTTCACCACTTTTTGAGAAATCAAATTCTTCCTGCTCTATAGACTCTGGCTCGAATATCAGTTGTATCACTTATTAGGTATGTGACCTATGTAATTAACCTCTACACCTCAGCTTGCTAATGAAAAAAATGAGACACCATGAAGAGTCATGGGGCACACAGAAGACAAACAATGTTCATTCTATCCCCCACTCTCCTCTTTGGCAATTTCTCAGGTCATACAGAAGTCAAGGTTGGTAACCCTGTAAATCGGGCTGAGATCCAAACTTTCAATATATTGCTTTTCAAATTAAATAAAGTTGTCCAACTCTAAGTACATGCACAGTTGAATATATCTGTTGATACATGGAAAGTAATCAGTATTAAGTAGGATACAAATAG